AAGTGGACTGGAAGAGCTTCTGGTCCACTTATGGGTCCACTGCTGAGCACACTGGGGACCCCTCCACACTCCTGTGGGACACTCCATCTGCCCTGCCATCTCAGCATTCATGAGCCACCTGGTACCTTGAGGTATGTAGAAAAAACATTTAAAGCTGTGTCTATGTCCAAATCATTGAATCTCTCTGAATTGATTCAGAGCATTCTGGTTCGATTCAGAGAGATTAAAGGGTCTCCTGGTTTGATTCGGATTAGGCGTTTTGGCCGCTGAATCGAGCCAAATCTCTGCTATATCGAATAAGTGACCAAAGCTTTGCACAGCCCTAGTAATTACAGTTACAATGCATTTGATCCAAAGTATGTACAACTGGGCTAGAGAAGGAGAACATAGATGCCCCATGCTAGTTGGCTGCAGCATATCATCTCATACTACCTGTGAGGGTTTGGCTGGGATGCAGGTGGCTAGCCCTGCTGTAGGCCACAAGGAGTGACCTGGGGTCAGCAGGGCAGGGGCACAGGTTACTGGAGCCTAGAGGGGAGATCCAAGAGATACAGTCTGAGATATAGCCTGAGGTCAGGAACCAGGAGTGAGAGAACCTGTTGCTGAGTTTCAAGGAAAATCTGAGGTCAGGGTCAAGGAAGCCAAGTTGAGTCAGGATGCTGGGGAAACCAGACAGAGTAGGGTCAGCACTGAGGTTCAGGGGAGATCCAAGATCAGGGTCTCAGAAAGCGAAAGCTGAGTCAGGAGCCTGGGGAACCAGAGAGCAGTGAACACAAGGCTTGCCAGAACAGACTGAGGCTATGTGAAGGCATGCCAGCAGCCTGAGGTAGCAGGTACTTCCTATAAGGAGTGAGTGGCACTTCAGCAGCCAATCCAATTGCAGAGAACTGGAGCAGTTGCATTAGCCAGGGATTACGGACACATGCAACAACTCAGATTCATGGCCCAGTCAGGTATTACTGATAGAGGCCCTGACGCTAGCAAAGAATCCATCTTTCCTGTGCCTCTTTTTTTCTCTCCTTTGATTTCTTATGATATCATATTCTTCTGATTTCTAGAAACTGATACACAAAGAATTATCCTGTCATTTCCAATAGACAAAACCATCTTCTTTGTTGCTTCTTGAAGGTTTTTCTCTAGAAGTCAAACTCCTAGGCCCTCCACCCCAGCTTACCTTACTAGTCTCCTTCCTAGCTCCTCCAACTTTTCTTCTGCATTACAATATCTGTGGCTTATCACACTGCGTTCTGGTACCATTTGCCTTTCCACAGTTTTTGGTGATTACTTCTTTCTCTCTCCTCAAATCGCGGATTCCTGGAACTGTTATGCTTGTACCTGATAAAACATTTAATCACCTATTACTTACATTTCCTAATTCCTACAGGTTAGCATCTTTTGACTGTATCCAGCTGTTCTGCAGGGTGATTTCCTAGATAGCCAGTTACCTTGGAACCCTGTGTCTCTCTGTAGCCCTAGTGCACAGCAAGGGGCATGTGAAGGTGGCTGGCCTTTCTTGGTCCCAAACTATGAGGTGGGTGTGATTTGGTCTGTACTTGGCTGGAGCAGTAGAGTCCAATCTGCATCACCAACTGTCTCCCTGGATCTGGGGGTGGGGTGGGGAGGAGTGCCTGGAGCAATGCATACTGGGATACTGTAGAACAGTGCTGAGGATGCAAGGGTAAGTGTACAGGCATTCACGTACAAAAATTCTCTAGGGAGCAACTTGTACTGGGTTGGAATTTTTTTTTTCTACCAGAGCCACTTTTTTGCTCCAGGAGAAACTGTGTAAACATTTGTATACTCATGGTTTCTACTAGGAGGGCAGCGAGTCTGCCAGTAGAACCCTAATGCCTGTGGTCACAGTATCATTCTCTGTGAGTCTAACTTAAATATCTATATTAAAAACAAAACTGAAATGTCTTTGTTTGCTAGGTCATATTACAGATCTTACTGCTACAGAATGTGTTTTCCTTGATATTCTGAACACCGATGTTCTGATTGCAGCAAGTCTTTGAATTAGTATTTGTACAAAACTTTGAACACTTGCAGCCACATCATGGGTTTCTGGTTGTGTTGTGATGTCAACTTCAAATCCAGAAGAATAACAAGGAAAAAGGGGCACAGTTAGCTTTTCTCCTTAGATACCTTCCTATAGATATAACCCCTTCACTTTTCTTAACTTAATGGCCTGCTAGTTTGCTGCTCTTGTCCTGCAATCTTCAGAGCATATGGGGTGGCCCCTCCCTTCTCAAGACAAATGTTTCATTGTAGGTAAAATGGAATGAATGAAAGAAGGAGTGTTGGTTATAGTTGTGTTGCTCTAAGGACATGGGCAGACAAGATTCTTTGGGTAAATGCGATATCTTGTATTGTGTCTGTCTCAGACGGCCGGAGCCGACTTGAGGTGATATATAAATTGCTCGGTCGTTTGGGCAGGCTGGTGCATGGAGAGGCAGACAAAGCGTATTGGTTGCAAAAAGCTTTACTTACGCTGCTAGTAGCCGCGACGCAGGTGGTCCGGTCGCTTAAACAACTACACGAGTTGCTCCAGCTGGCAAGGCTCAGGCCAGCGAATCCGTACACGAGTCAGGCCGGCAGGGAAAAGGGTACGTTGAAGGATTGCGCTCGGTGATGGGGAGAAGAATCAATAGGCGATCAGGCTATCGATCAGCTCAGCCGCAAGTCAGGAATCTTCAAAGGCACTCTGCAGCGTGCTCAAAGTTCTCTGACTTGGGCGGAAGTCGCACAGAATTTTATACGGCTAGCGAAATTGGCACAAAATTTTATACGGCTGCAAAGCCAATCACTAGCCACCACGTAGGAATAATTTAGAACTGGCCAATAGTGGGACACAAATTTGCATGCGAATGGCGGGAACTCTCTTCCACCGGGGTTTTCTGTTGCAGCAGAAAACTTTTGCTGTGCACAGAGACTCTCATGTGGCGGGAAAATTCCATCGTGCCAAGGCACTAAAATCATTGGGTTGTGACAGTGTCAACTAAATACTTGGAAAAATTGTTCTTTGCAAGATTTCAGACACAAACGCCCTTCTTCAGGCATAGGGAGACTGTGCTGGTGTTTGTGTGCTCTCCTGCGTGGCATAGAAGCCAGTATTTAAATGCAGGTCTGTGAAAAAGAAAATGCGTGGCAGTAAAGATCAGAGGGGATGGGAGACCATAGGTGCAAGACAGGTAGGTGATGGGAAAAGTGGGGAGTGTTGACCTGATGATAGACTGTAGCTGATAAAATTAGATAGAGGGTACCTGGAGTTACCGGGTGGCAGGCAGGTTATAATGTACCATAAATCCAATGCCAATATTTAATCCATGTTTTTTTGTATCCGTTAGATTTATGTAGTGAAGTTCGTAGGCTCATCTTCAAAAGGTATTTTATAAATTCCCTTTGAGGCTTAGAACTGAGAGACTGGAGAGAGAGTGGTTGTCTTGTGAGAAGTGTGCACCCACAGGTAATTGATTATTTTTATCTTTAAAGCCAACAACAACTGAGTACCAGATGGAATTGAGTACCACCGAAAATCTATCAAAGACTTTTGTGCTCAAAAGCTTTCAAAGAACAATTTTTCCAACTATTTTGTTGGTCTAATAAAAATATTGTATTTACCCAAAGAATCTGGTCTGCCTATGAATAAATGTTAAAAACAGATTTTTTTTTAAAGTTTTCGCATTATGAACTCTTACACCCCCCCCACCCCAAATTAAATTAATTTTATTCCAAAAAAGAATATTTTTTCATTTTTTTTGGTTCAGGAGCCAAACCAGAACAATTATTTGTACAACCCTGAGCATTACAGTATTATAGTTGTAGTATATTTGGATTTCCTGAAGGCATACCATGTAGCATTTTGATTTAAAAGCTCGCCATGTATGACATGATTAAGGCACACGTTAGATGGATTAAAAAGTAGCTCACTAAGTTTCAGAATGAGATGGCCTAATGGAAAGACTAGCCATCTAGTGAGTCAGGCTATTACTAGCAGGGTTGCACAGATAACACAAAGATTTGTGGGGTAGTAAATAAGGAGGAGAACAGAGTGGTCAGAGTGATCTGAAGATATATTTCTAAATTCCATGCTTTAGTCCAATTTTTGGGATAGCATCTATGTGTTATAAATACAGGTCAGGCTATGATCATAATGGTCCTGTCTGTCTTAAAATCCATCTATACATTTATTATAATAAAATGACACATCTACACTGGAACTTAAAGATGTGCTTTCCTAGCATTTCTTATGTCATATAATAGAGATCTCATGAGAGGCAAGCATTTATGTTAGCTCAATTTTTTTTCTAATATTGTTTCTTATCAGGGTCCTAATGGACATGTTCAAACTAATTGTAAATATCAGCACCAATTAGGAGGACATTATATAGAATTACTTGTAATAGGACATCAACCTTCAGAATCGAAAGTGCAGATCTGTTTCTGGACAAACTATTGTGCTGCAAGCACTTACATATGTGATTAACTTGGAGTTCATGCCTTGGTGTTTACAAGACTGGGGATCATGTCAGTTATCTGATAATCACAGAGCTCATCATAATAAGAGCTTATCCTTGTCATAATCTTTAACAATCTCTGAAATATAACATGGAATATTTTAAATAAATCTTTTTGGAGTAAAACATATGATTCTGACCAAATGATACAAGTGTTTTTAGAAGCCATGTTAAACAAAACAGAGAAAGTTAATAAAAGAAACTTTCCAGTTACAGTTAACCCTAATGAAGATATCCACAAAATACTACACAGAAAGTTTCGCTATTCCATGTTCCTCTCTGTCATCTCATTACATACATTTCAAAGTACAAAATCATCCAAACTTCAATGCCATGATTTCCTGTTATATGCAATGCCAGCATATACTTTAACATAGAATGTTTGACATTTAGGTTAAACTTAAAAGGTCATCCTTTTTTTTTTTTCTTCAAATAAACATTTGCAAGTAGAATTCAAAGCTTCTAGGAAAAATTTTTGGCCAAGCATCATATCCTATTGTCTTAAGACATCTACTTCATTTGCAAGCCACTAAAGAATGAATGTGTGCATTTAAATTCAAAATATAACAATTATCATCTTTTTCAGTTGCCTGGGGACTGCACTTAGCTGTGCCCAACCTATTTATTTCAGAAGAAAAACACAAAAATAAAATTCAGTGATATTGCAGTTCTGAGTGGGCTGTAAACATGCTTAATTTACTTAAATGTAAGTTACTTCATAACATTTATTAAATGATTCATCTAAAAAACTGTTTAATCTAAAAGCACATTTTTCAAGAGAAGTACATCAGGATTATTATTCGTATAAACTCTAAAAAGAAATGGAACTAAAATGTTCTACTAATTTATATCAGCTTAAATCACTAATAGTTTGAAGGGTCAGCAAATGTTGCTGAACTGTTCATAAAATGCATCTAGTTTTCCATCAAATCTTAATTAAATCAACTGTTACCAAAACAGAGCAAACAGTGAGCCCTATCTAATTTTCTTGGTTCTTATACTATAACTAACATGCTGGCATCAGGATAGGTTAGTGTCCTCACCCCAGTCAGAAAGAATATTGTAGTATCATAATACATTTTATCTTATCTTTAACTGTCACATATTCTTAATTTTTCATTAGTTTTTATCAGTGTACCAAGAGAGTACAAAATGCTATTAATTGAGAATGCTGCTATCCTTGTACCCCTAATTTACACTCACTTTACACAGGTGTAAATAACTTCATACTGTGCAAGGCCAGGGAGAATCTGGTGGGAAGTGCAGCATTCTACACTGCCTAAATCCTTAAACAGATTTTGGCTCTGTGGCTAGCTGATTGATTCAACATAGAAAACACATTCCTACAGAAATCAGGACAAATGTAAATACTTAATATGATTCCAGAGTACAGAAATGACCTGAAGGTGAACAGCTCATGAAAAATAACATTTTTTTCCTGTGATGCATAATACACTATACCCTTAACACTTTAAAACCTCTCCCACAGCCATATAGTACACTCTACAAGCCTTATAATTATACCAGTGCAATGTTATGAAATCTCCTCTGAGCATTCAATGGAATAGCTTAAATTTATTGGGGGGGGGGTGGGGAAGTATGGGTGTTGTATGCTCACATGTACATAAACTTTAAAAAAGGGTTTTTTTTTAAAAACTGTTAACAACCTTTGCCTCAAGTCACATACTTGTTAGTGGGCAGGTTCTTAGGGTTTGGGGGCTAGATACTCTTGAACTATAGTCTTTCTACCAATTATATATTGATCGACCATAAGGCCATCAATAATTCTCTCAGTATGCGGTACTAACATATATAACACTTAGTATGTAGAAAGCATTTCAAGTACTGTAAGCATTAAAAAGGGGAATAATCTCATTTTCATAATTCACAGATAAATTGAAGAAATGATTAATTAATGCTTGAATGGTGCTTTATACATTTAGGGCCAGATTGTGGTCTCAGATTGTTTTTATACTAGTGTGACCTCAGTGGCTTCAGAATTACTCATACTGGTTTATTATAGTATAAATCCATAGAGTTAGATTCATAGCTATTTAGTTGACAACACTTAACTTATTACTTTTCTCTCTTCTATTAGAAAATCAAAGCATCAATGCTCAGATTATTTTTTCTAATCAAGTCCCTTCTAAAACTCCTTTCTGACTGAGTAACCTGTTGCATACTAACAAAGGCATCTGCTGTTTGCTGAACATGTAACAATTCTGCAAGACAAGTAATACAGGACTTGACATAATGGTCATTCTGTTCCTAAACTTGCTAAATGCTTGACCTTAATGATTCTTTTTTTTTTTTTTTTTTTTTTTTGGAGCTGCAAATTCCACAAGATAAATATGCATTGTAGATTGTAGAAATCTACAATTGTAGATAGGAGAAATGTAACTTCTCTCTCATATATTTTTCCTATTACATTGAACACCATGTAGGAATCCCAAATTCACCTTCTTTCTGCCATTCCTTATTTTACATACATTGTTCATTATTCTTATTCTAGCTATTTAAATTTATATTCTTTATTTTGTATATTGTACATCATGAACTTCTTTCTTCTCTGTAAACTGAGCAGCCCCAGTCTTTCCTGTCTCTCCTTATTTGGAAGGGCTTCCATGCCTCTACTAACTTTCAGCATTCAGCTGTGGGCCCCATCCAGAAATGTTCTATTCTCTTTGAGATAGGATGACAAGAAGTGACCATGGAATTGCAGGTAAGGTTATATCTTAATGTAATGACCTTTGAATAGCATTGTCTTCTATTCTTTATATACCTTAACAATTCCTTACTTTTACCTCTTATTGGGTTCATCTACACATGCATTTGCTGCAGCACCAGTTTACTTGTAAGTAAATTTCTCATGGGTAAATGGTGCCGGGCAAGCATCTACATGTGCAGGGAAGTGGGAACAGATTTGCTGTTAATCTGCTCCCGCTTCCCGGGGCCCTACAGTGGGCCCCTGTTGCCTCTAGCAGGTAGCTAAAGGCTCCAGCTGCAGCAGCCAGGCCTCTTCAAAAGGCAGGCCTGCTCTCTGGCTCTGGCCAGCCACATCCCTGGCCAGAAGCAGCATGCCCAGCGCAGGGACAGCATGCGGCAGTGCTCTCCTTGCTGCCTCTGCCTCCCTACACCATGGCTGCTCTGGCCCTTGCTCCTGGCAGAGATGACCAGTGCTCTGGGCTCCTGCTGGCTGGCACACTAGCCCTGCTGGCCTACCATGCTGACCGCCACCTGGACCACAGCCATCTTGCCCCCCTGGTTCCCCCACATGCAGCAACTACTTGCCAGGCCACCACATCATCCCATATCTGTCACCTTGACCCCTTCTGCCTGACTGGACCCTGGCAGGGATGCCAACAGTGGGCTCCGGGTTGCAACTGCTGAGGCTGCCGTCACCCCCCTGGGCCTCCAGTCCCACCACCTCTGGGCCCACCAGGCCAGCCAGGACTGATGGCTGCACATCATCCAGCATACCTGGAATGATGAGCAGTGGCTGGAGACGTTCAAGATGACCTGAGCCACCCTTCAGGATCTCCTGGTGCAGCTCTGTCCACACCTGGAGCAGCAGAACACTGCTATGCAGCTGCCCCTCTCCACAGACACCTGGCTGGCTCTCACTCTGCTCAAGTTAGCCACGACCGCCAACCTGTGATATGTTGGTCACCTGTTGGACATGGGCAAGGCCAAGGCAACCACTAGGAACACTGTCTTGGAAGTGTGCAGCTCCCTCCAGGACATGCTGGGGGACACCGTGCTCCATGTGCATGACCCCTTGGTAGTGGTGGTGGGGTTCCATGTCCTGGCATTCCCCTAGTGTACTGGGGCGGGAAGGGCCCACATCCCCATCACCTGCCCGCCCCAGGGGATTTCACTCCGTGGTGCTCCAGGCCATTGTGCACCACTGTCGGGCCTTCATGAACATGAGCAATAGCTGGGTGGGTAGTGCCCACAATGCCTGTGTCCTCAGGAACTCTGGCCTGTTGTCTCTAGTGGAGAGTGGGCACTTTTTGTTGGGGGTACCAGACCTGCAGCTGGGTGCCATGGCCATCCCACCGCTCCTTATTGGGAACCCCATCTACCCACTCCTGTCCTGGCTCATGCAG